TGTTAGCACGTGATACGTACAGGTGAGGTCGGTAAACAAAACACATCAGTCTGCATTCCATGCGCCTCATATACGACCTTCTTGGAAGTCGTCTGATCATATGTCAGTGTTTGCCCGTGAGTTAATTAATGTCTTTGTATCATAAGCTTTATTTCTGAAGTACGTGTGCTTACACATTTCCAAGTTAAGTCTCGATATCGGGTGTTGACATATCATCGTCACGCACGTGTACTATTTACCCGGTGTTACTATAATTTACACCACGGTAATGGAATGCCCGATACGCAATACGGAAATGACGACACGAAAATACGAAAAGAAAAAACATGTGTGTTACGAAGGGTGGAAACTCCTTAATATAAACTGGACAATTCTGTGATGTTGAATATATAGAGGTTCCCCAACGGGTGTTGGTTGGTTAGCGCCTGATAAGGCTTGCTCCCGTAGGCTCTTGCCAAATTTTGTGTATTTCACGAATATACTTATTTACCAACACTGAAGTTTGCCATATTATCATTTGAATAGTTCGAGATCATTCTCGTCTATAATTAAAGCTTTTAAAATTGGAACTTTGTCGTCAATTTTGGCTTTTATTTCGTATATCAGAGGACATAACTTTAACCGCTGGGCGAGTTGTCTAGAAACGCACACTCGTCCAGGTGTTATTCTGAATTTCTAGTCAGTTAATATAACATACCTTTTTTAGTTAAGTATTTTTGTATTTATTTAACATTTCTTTCACATTTGACTTACATTTCACGCTTTTGCAGTTATACAAGAGCCGTAATAATCATTTGTGGTCAATTATTTTCTGGGCTTGGATAGACGCCGTCTTTGTTTTACCGTCAATTTTTGCCCCATATATTTGACCCATCTCGGTATCCTTTCTTAGCTTTTGTTCATTCTTGCTAATATCATTTAAATTGTTTGAGATCATTCTCGTCTATAATTAGAGTTTTTGAATTTGTAACTTTGACTTAATTTTTGGATTTTAATTTTTGTGTATCAAAGGACAGAATTTTAACCGCTGGGCGAGTTGTCTACATTTTGTTGTTTGTTGTGACGAAGTGACGTCTGTAAACTAAATTTATCATTCATATTTGTACTTTTTTAAAACATTCTTTTCACATCTGACTTACATAATACAAAAACTTTAATTATCATTGTGGTAAAAAAAAAAACAATCAAAAGAAAAAAAAAATCAATCTGGGCTTGGATTTTTGCCCGACATATCTAAACCATCTCGGTATCCTCTCACGGCTTTTGTTCATTCTTGCTTATATAAATGCGATCATCTGTCCGTGAAACATTATTGTTTTTCTTCTGGAAAGTTAATATATAAATACAGTTTTAAATACAAATGTGAATCGTCATATTTTTGATTTGTAAGAGACATATCGTCACAAATGTGTCAACTTTTGGTAGATATCTTCTTTGACATTTTGTACTATTGTACTGCTATTTTGTGTTTGTTCTTGTTTCTCTTATGTTGTAAATACTAGAAGTTGTACATTCATATATGTTTAAATATAGTAGATCTGTTCTCCTGGCACTTAGACCAGTGAGTCATAATATTACAACACATCTTTTAGAGGACTTTAAGGCATCAAATTCGGAGAAAAACTTGCGCACTAGACGTGGGACACGGGCAGGAAAGGGTGCTGTTAGGCGAATACCAAGCGTTATCGGAGTTAAATCAAACGGAACCAGTGGTTTTACCCACTTGGGCCTGAATACTATGATAACCTCATCCATTTGGTCCCTACAAATGGTCTGTCTGTCTCGCACCCTTTCTTGCAGGGCCAAACTGCGCTTACAGAAGTATCGGGCATCGACACATTTGTGCATTCTCGTAACGATACTTCCACACGGATTCCGACATCATCAGTATCGTTCGAGAATTTACATGTCATCAAGCCAATAATAGCTGGTCACTGTAAGTCAGTTATTCCTCTTAATTTAGTGTCCGTAAACTGTCGTTCAGTGAAGAAAATTCATTGTCCATCGGGGATTTTGTAACATCTCAGGACATTGACATTCTTGTAGACTCGGCAAACGTGGTGGTGGGGTGGCTGTTCTGTTTAAGAAAGGCCTAAGTGTGAGACATCTCTCTTCCAGCCATGATGATGTATACACACACTTTGAGCACATGACTTGTTCTGTCATTGCTGGTGATAAACAATTTAGATTGTGTATCATTTACAGGCCTCCACCATCTAAACAGAATGCTTTCCGAAATACAGTGTTTTTTGATGAATGGTTTACCTTTTTAGACCACCAAGTTGTTGTACCACAAGAGATTATTATCACGGGTGATCTAAATTTCCACTTAGACGATCTATCTAATGTCGATGCTCGCCAGTTCTCTGGTCTACTAGATTCCAGGGGTCTGATTCAGCATGTGACAGAAGCTACACACACCCATGGTCACACACTGGATGTGGTCATAACGAGGGAAGATAACTCAGTCATTCACGGAGCTATTTCAGTGATTGATCCATGTCTAAGTGATGTAAAGGGGAACCAATCTGGTGATCATCTTGCTGTCCACACAACACTGAATTGTAGTAAGCCAGCTCGTGCAAGGAAAGAGGTGAGCTTCCGGAAATTCCGCGAAATTTCAATACCAGATTTCGACAATGACATTCAGTCTTGTTCCGCCCTTCAATCT